TGGCCACGAGCCGAAGTTCTCAAGTGGCAGTTGGCGCCGGCCGTTTACTTTCAAACTGCGCGTTCCGCGGCGGTTGGCTGCAGCGGCGCATGCGCGCGGGGCTCTGCGGCCTCTGCCTGTCCGCCCCCGGCCGCAGAGGGCTGCTGTAGGCGGCGGGAGACGGATGAGTCCGCGCGGGCTGGTGAGTGCCCGGCTCCGGGGGCGGCGCGGCGAGGCGAAGGGATGCATGCGGGGAAGAGGCACCAGCATTAAGTGGGGCGTGGGCCCCGCATCCACGGACTGTCACCGGCGCCGCGCAGGCGGCTTCCCCCGTGCCCCGCGCTGTCCGGGGATAATGGCTGCCCAGGGTGGGGGCACGGCCAAGAGCTGGTATCTTCTCGGGGCGTCCGAGTCTCCCGAGTCGAACGGTGCGGAGGGCAACGGGGGTGGCCACAGACTGGATCCAGCCGACTGGTGGGCGCCCGCCTGGGAGCCGGATCCAGTCATTGGCCGGCTGGATCCAGCTGGTGGGCCACATTGTGCCCGCCCCTCCACCAGCTTAATTAGGTTTCACTGATTATGAGCATATGTTTATGTAAGGGGCGGATCACCCCTTACTCGAGGAAGGAAGTGGGGGGAAAAAACAAACCTTGCCCTTGCCAGTGTGACCCGGAGGGGGCAGAAATCCCTTTTTGACCCCAAATCTGGCTGTTAGATTAGAGTCTGAATAAGTAAGCAAGTCCTTCCAGCCAAGCACCTGAATGCTTTTGAAAGGGAACACCAGCTCACCTTGGCGAAATTAGCTGTTGGCTTCTAGGTGTGGTGAAAAGGAAAAGACCAACCCCCCCCCCCCCCAAAAAAAAAACAAAACAAAAGCCAGATAAAGTATTGCATGTGGGAGGGGTGTGCTCAATTCTTCCTTGTCCATGAAGGTGACAGCAGAAGCCCTGAAACTGTTGCCTTGTCAGCACACATCCTGGTTTTCCCTGGTAAAAAGTCACAAATTCTCTGTTTAAAAAACCCAAAATCCGTGATAAAAATTAGAGTCCCCCCCCACCCTGCTAGTGCCCCTCACTCCCCCACACAGCCTCCCCAGTCCTGCTCGTGCCCACTACTCCCCCCACAACAGCCCCCCAGTCTCCCACACGAAGGCACAGACACAGACAAATACACACACACACCCTAGCAGGTTAGGTGTGGGGGAGGATGGGGGGGGAAGGAAAGGGTTGGGGGTGCAGATTGAGAATGGGGGGAGGAGAGGTGCATCTCTGTGCATGTTCCCGGAGGGCGGGATGAGGGTGGGCCACACATGCACCGCCCGGCCAGGGTTGGGGGGAAGCTCGCATGCAGCAACCCCCCACACCACCGCCTCTGGTGGGGAAGGGGCT